GTCGATCAGCGTTTATCCCATCGAGATGTCCCGCAGTATTTTAAAACCTGGGAAAAATGACATCGTTCCGTTAGCATTAAGTTTCCTTTTTGAGGCTTGGCGGTCTCTCGGATGCAGTTGTAGATATGGAATTATGGTTTAGAAAATTGTCGAAACCCGAAGATCAGGTTCGTCGTTTCCGTTACATTTGCTTTCGTAATATGACATTATGTTATTGCATCGTTTTTGGGCAAAATTCTCTCGATTTCGTTTTTTTTTAATTCACGAATAAAACTACTCACTTTGTTATTTGAAGAAAGTGTTTACTGGAAAGTTTCGGAAGGCAGATATTTGAAAGAGGAAAGAAGGTGGAAGTGTTCTCTAGTGTGCAGTTCAAACGATCTTGCGAAGAAATTCATTTCATCTGTCGTTTGCAATGTCGTTTCAGATCTTTTAATAGCACTTAAATTTCCAAAAACTTGAACTTTTTCAGTTGTGTGAAGCGCGGAATGCGTGCATTCGGCATGTTCAAAGAATAGTTGAGGAATTGCTGGTGGACGATTTGAAGGCGGATTGCTTAAATACGGGACGGTTATTGGGTATATTGACACTCATTAGCGGTATCGACTCAGCATCAAGTCGAATCATGACCGAGGTTATTGATCCAAAAGTTGAGAAATCCTTCGATGATTTAGGATTGTTCCTTGAAAATATTTTGGCGAAAGTGAACGAGGTTTGTGAATTATTTTGTGATTGTTGCTTGAAATTCGTTTGTTTCCCTTAACTTCAAAGAAAACAAACGAATTTCATTTATTTTCAGTTTTTATAATATGCTGGAAGTTATTGTGTTGTTCTGATGGATATCTCTTGTTGTATGTTTGTTTAACATGTTCAGTTGAATTGACATTTATGAGTTGATATGATGTTATACTGATCATGAATGTTAAGCTGCGAGAGGAATGGTCATCGAAACTGATCAAAAACGCAATGCGCGTTTCAACAATTACACCGTTCTTGGACAAATGCCTCCTCACATATATTGTTTCGATGCTGGATTCAGTAAATTTTTAATCTTAGTTTTGCTTCCTCTTTCAAATTTTCGTGGCGTTGAGATTGTGAGGAAAACATTTAGCTTAACAGTTTGGTAATGATGCGGAAGACAGTAATTGTAATTATGAAAGAGCAAAGTTATAATAGTAATATAACCATGATAGCAATTAATCAAAATGCTAATGATGATAGTAGTATTGGGAATAAGAATTGTTTTATGTAATTATCATTGGATTTCATCTTTGAAATAATGGTTCGTTTCTAAAATTCAGTAAAAGCATGTCCTTCATTCAGCATTTCGGTTCAGTGTTAGTGCCAATCGACAATCGACTTTTTCATCGATGTTATTCTCGAGTTTGTGAATTCATCAGAGACTGGCCTGATGCGGTCATTTCTCGAACGATTCTGAAAATGATACGTGATCGATTCAATCTGATCGTTTACTTCAAACTGCAAACGAATAATTTGTTGACGAAAATGAATGATAACAAGGAGCCGAGTGCGTTCAAACTCATCACCGCCGCCACATCAGTTGAGCGATCGTCTGAATCAGAAAAGAATCAAATCACCTCTGATGGAAATCATCCCAGAATGCGATCGTTTTCATTGGACGACGATGAAGTGAAACTCCACTGTGAATATTCCGCGATATTTGTGGATTCACTAACGTCACTGTGGAGAGATGATTTTTATTTAGCGTCTATACTGGATAAGTTATGGGATTTGTCGATGAAATTATTGGAGAAATATTCGACGTGGTTGGATGCATTGATAAAGTGAGTTTATTTGTGGTGATCTCGTTTTGTTTTTGATAGAATCGCGTTCTGTTAGAATAAATATTTTGTGGAACGTTTCGGTGAGTTGCGTAAATTGCATCGTATAGATGTGAAATGTATTCTGAAAATAATTCGACGGTAAATTTTGTTGGGCGATTGTGCTTATTTCTTATTTGATTAGGCTGAGCAGTGAGAAGCATTATTTCAGCGAGATTTTCTTTTTCTGATTCCATTTGACTTGTTTTAAGATTCTTTGAAAATGATGAGAATAAAATTGACGAATACGATGGTTGGCGTATCTTATGTGCTGTTTATGGAGATTGTTTGACGATTGATACGCGTATTTTTGATATTGCACTCACGTCGATATGGCCAAAAATTCGTGAAGTTGGGGTAAGTTCAATCGTGTTTGATCGTATTTATGCTTAATTTTTATCATATCACCTTGTTTCAAAGGTACTTTTGTAAAAGTTTCTAAGCGAACTGCTTTCGAGGGGAGGGATGATGTTGTCAATGGAAAGTCTTTGATGGTTCTTGTTTGGTTGAATCAGTCATTGCAGCTAGATGTGACGATGTTTGGTCAGTGTCTGTCGGCATTCTCATCGCGCATCACCGTGAAACGAACGCAGTTGGAGAACATAATTGTTCGCAATATCGTCGCGTTGTTAAATAAGGTGAGCTTGGAATATTGTTGAACGCTCAACTGAAATGACCGCTGAATTCAAGAAATGTGACGCTTCTATGCACATCGTAAAACTATCTGATGTCGATGATCTCATCGTTGACTTACGATTGCTCTCCAGTTGTCACTGACCGAAATTGGGAGGGGGAGGAAATGAAGAGAACGGATTTTGATAGATTTCAAATTCGACGTTATAGGCAATGGAAGGTGTGTCGGATATTCCGAGGCACTATCGCTGGACGAAAAAGCCACATCCGACGGAAGTATCATTGTACATGAATGAAGCATTTGCAATTTTTAACGCTTTTAAGGTTAATTCAATTCATCGATTGTTGTTGTTTTCATTGAATTGACTTCGAGTTTGATTTCTTTTGACTTTGTTGCTTTTTTGTTGCTGTTCTGAGCAATGAAATGGTAAATGCTTGGAATAATATGATATGGTTAAGGAGGAAGTCGGTTCACGAAGTTGGGGTGATGAAGAAATTGAGAACGTTTCAAAACGAATCCTTGACGAATCGTTGGGAGCATTTTGTGTTAAAGCTGAACAGGTTTCAAGATTTGTGATTGCGATTTTGTGATGTTATTATTTGTTTTATTTTTGCTTTCGTATCTGTTTGCAGTTGCAAGCAGAATTCGTTTTGTGATAAGATTACTGACAACTTTTTGTTATGATTGAAAGAATAATTCTATGTTTTGTGTGGACATCATTGAATTGTCATTCAGTTCGACAGCATATTCAACAAAGCTTTTGTATTCTCACTCTGCTTCAGAATTTATTTTGATATTTCCGATATGATTTTATCAGTTATTAATTGAGAAGATTTGTTTTGGTGTAAATGAAACGTGAAAAAGTGATCGTGTTAAAAGTGAATAGCAGTGAACAGAGCTCGTCGTTTATTGCAGAATGCATAAAATTATGGATGGTTTAGGTGATTGAATCAGTTGAGCAAACCGGCTCAAGTCTACAGCGCTTCAAGCGCAAAACGGGAACGGGTGCAGGTGCGGGAAGCGATCAGGTGAACGCGGCCGATACGGATGAGGGTAAAATCAGAAGTCAGTTAATGTTGGATCTGAATTTGTGTCAAACGAATGCAGCCGGGTTGGATTTGGACACATCACGGATCAATGAGTTGATCATCCGTGCCGGTTTAACAACCAAGTCACCAACTGACAACATTATCAAATCAGGACCAATTCACTCGTTACCCGACATGAGCATTGTTAAGGATTAGTCGTTTGGAGGAGAGTGGTGTATTTTCAGTATATTCTTGTGAAGGCATTGATTCATTGGTAATTGAATTCGTTTTGTTTGTATATTCACCACCAATCTGTATATCAGTATTATCTCACGATTTCGGTTATTGTTATTATTTTCATTGCTTTTGCCGTCATTATTAATGTCCTGATTGGCGTTATTATTATTATTATTATTATTATTATTATTATTATTATTGTTGTTGTTGCATTATCTCATTATAATCGTTTTTATCCTATTGATTATAGAGTATATTGTGCCTCGTTTGTTTTTTTTTCTTGCACTAACTGTGATTATGAATATCGTGGAATTGTTACATTAGGGAGCGCCGGTTTCGTAGCATTATTTTTTTTGATGTCCATTCTTTAAGTATCGTAATCATTATTTGCCAAAGTTTACTTCCATTTGCAAATGTCATTGTGATATGATAATTTTTTTAGTGAATTATCGGTGTCATTAATAAACGTTTATACATTCCGAAATGATCTCATTCCACATGATTCAGTGCCAATCAGTTGTGGTTTGAAAACAAGTCATTCGATGACTTATCGATGTTCTCTGTGAGGATGTGTTAGGTTTTAAGATCATTTTAACCAACATAAGCTTTGTTTGTCGGAGTGAGTGATTTGTGGTTCATCGCTTTCATACATATCACAGATAGTTTCAAAACCCTTCGATTAATTTCAATCTGTTAAGGTGAAACTTACTAGTCCGGGATTTTGGTAGAATAGAGGAGTAACTCAAAATGACGACGACATGGGCCGATATTCAGCGCTTAGCTGCGGACTTGCAACGTGTCCAGTTATCCGAAGGAGCCAAAAAGTTAGTGGATTATCACTTATTTGAGATAATATTTGGGAGGAGTATACATTCATGAATGGGTATATGTTTAGATCATTTTATTTTAACTGAAATTTTAAAAGTTTCTGAGCATGAAACAAATGCCAGAAAATATAGGTTTGTTTGACGAGGATGAATAAATTCAGATTATCGGAAAAGAATTGCATCGAAGTGGTGTCGATGTTGATAGCGTCAAAAGCAATCGATATCGTCTTCACAAGTGACGGAAACGCTTACCTCACCAGAAAACATCTGATCACTGAAATTAAAAATGAATGTATTGGACGAGGTTCGAGTTTGCGTTGTTCAGTTGTTCCACATTTATCGTGCCTTCGTCGGATTATTTCATCATTGTATTGGAATGATTGTGTGAAAGATGACGTATTCGATTATTTGTTTTCAAACGATTGAAATTCGGTGATAACAGCATTCGATTCATGAAGTGTTATCATTTGAACTAATAGCAGTGTGGTGATAAATTGTATTCTTCTCATTTATGCTTAGTCTATATGAGAAAGGAGACTTTATTTGTGATCAGTTGAATGAAGTAATGAAAGGCGTTTGCAAATTTTAGGTGGTCGTGTTTCATTATCGGATTTGGCGCAGACACTTGTCGTTGACTATGAGCACGTGGAAAATTCGGTTCTTTCGATCGTCAAGCAGTCAACTTCATTCGTGCTCTGTAATGCTGAACTCATTTCGAGGTATTCCTTATAATGCTTGATGTAGTCGACGTTGAAATTTCAGTTCTGTATCGATTATGATCTAGCAACAGTGATCTAATAACGATAGCAGTAAACATTGTGTGTGTTGGTCACAATTGCTAACAATTAAACATATCACCGATTTAAGAGATTACATAGATTCGTTATGCAAAGAGCTGAATGAACGACTCGCAGAGACCGGAGCTTTGTCAGTTTCGCAGCTGGCCAAAAATTGGGATCTACCAAGTGAGATTTTGTACACATTGGTGCTCACTGAAATTGGTAATAAAATCGATGCGATGCGAGAAGGTGATACAATTTACACACGGGCTTACGTTCATTCACAACTGAATTACATCAGAGCCATACTCAACTCCTTGACAAAGTTCGTTATATAATTTGTTTATTTGACTGATTTTATTCCATATAGCAGTTAGATTGGAAACTGCGAATTGGAATGTTTTTATGGTTGGTACTATGAGAATCTTATAAAGAGTGTGATATTGCTTCCGGGACCTGTGATATTGCTTCTGTAAATAGGTATGAGATAAGTGAACTTACGTGTAAGAATATTGTGTAATTTATGAAATCTAACACTGAAGTTATGAGTTCACATAGTCCTGTATAAAGTTAATGAGTAATTGTTAACAGTTGAATGCCATAGGGTATTTGTCTGTTTATTCACTTATCAATTATGTCTGTTGTCAATATTAATTATATTAACGTCGATTGCAGGGTTACGCCAGTCTCAAAGTTAAGTGCGCAACTGAATTTATCACCGTCATTGTTCTGGTCACTCTACGATGAGCTGGCCGCTGCGAATGAAGTACGTTTTTGTGCTGATGTTGTAAACTTTCATTGCAGGAGTATAGAAAATTGAAGGCAACTGGTAATGCGGGGTATTCAAATTTCAGATACCAGGTACTGTTATCGGCAATCGCTCATCAAATTTAGCCTACTACGTGCCAAATCTTCACTCGATGCTAGTCAAGTCATTTGTTTTGAAGTCGTTCGAACAAAATCAATCAATTGGTGAGTTTCTGGCCATCTTTGTTATTACTGTTATCATGTTGGGCATATCTGTCAAATCGCTCTGTCGGAATTGAGATTCAGGTAAACGATATCTTAATCGGAGAGCTCTGCCACTTTATATGTACACGATTTGATGCGTTACATGAATAGTTTGGAAGATGGATAGATT